ATGGGAGTTACTGGCTTGTCGGGGAATGACAGAGACTGAACCTACTTCATCCCCTTGTGTCAATCCATCAGCACTGTGTGGCATCTTCTTACTGGAACATAACTCCAAAGACTATAAATCTCTGTCTATTGGAATCTCAGGCCAGAGTGACCCAGTTGACGTCCACAGACACTGATGCAATGCAGCCTGTTTACTACGGAGGCCTCAGCTGAATGCTGTCTGTTTATATGGCTTAATCAATCAGTACCATAGACAGGTTTCATTCCACTTTGCTACAGAAATTGACCATAATTGTGCTTTTGATGGTACATTCAGATAGGATCTCGTATTTAACTGTCCTTGATGCAAGGACTGACCTCGACCTTCTGAAACTTTAGGACACTGAGGGACGCTGAAAGTTGAGATATAAAATATCCACTGCTGTTTACACTGAATTTTAAGAGGTAAAGGGAAATGGGGCTTAACATTGCATTCAAGATTATTGCACTTATATAGCAACGTGCATGCGCTTGTGTGTGTGAGGCTGCCTGTACTAGTCTGGACTTATGCCGATTTTATAGTGCTGGATGCCACACTTATACACAGTCTACTGATACCAAGCCAACCAGTTCTTCTTTAATTCCTTTCATGACAAGAGCCAACGAGGGTAATGAGGTACCATGTTTTTAATGTCTTTGGGTATGAGTAAGTGAGTGAGTGAGTTTGGTTAAATGCCACTTTGAACAGCATATTACGGCATGTCAGCTTGATGTGGGAGGTAACCCCGAGGTGTCATATTGCAGGGCCCCATTTCAGAAAGCAATCTTAGTGCTACACCTGTAAGTGTATGTTAGAGTATTGGAGTTATGATACTTAGCCCTAAGAACACTTTGTGAAATAAGGCCCTTGTCCTAGACACTTCCAAAAGAATAATACCGTCACATAGCCACACATCGCAGTTCACGTCTGTAACCAATGGAATCAATAAAATGTCAGCACATAGTTATCAAACCCAGATCTATATGAACATCCATGTACACTTAATCAGCAAAGTGACCAAAGATGAACTATTGATCATCTTCCTAACTGATAATGGTTATTGACGGTCCATACTTTCATTATGCCAGTCATCAATTGATATTATGTCCCCGAAATGGTTCCATATTCTCTGCCTAGATATGAACCCGCCTTCTCCTAATGTATTTTCATTGTCTAGGGAGTGATTGGAAGCCAATGACCCCCCAAAAACTTTGCTCAGGATGTTACAGCACAAAGGCTGAGAATAAATTAACTCCTGGGCATGTCATCTGGAACAGATAATTACGCATTGTCATTTTCATCCCCTTAATGCATGCCTGGCTTAGTTCTGGAACTAATTTGAAGAAATTCAATTTTCCTTTTTTGGTAATTGGGATCAAAATGTGATTACTGTTTGGGCTCCAATATCCAAACAGTGAACTAACAAACAGCTAACCCCAGTTTCCAATAAATGAGCAATATGCTCACTTGATTTCTTTAATTTAGCACATGCGACATGCATCACAGCTGATCACAATTTATTAACTTCTACAATTATGTTCTACTATGCCAATTCAAAATCAAATTATGATCACCTAGATGAAAAAATAGAACACATAAAACCACTTTTCCTTGTTTATTAAAATACAATTTTCAAAACATATTGTGATGTGGCCTTGCTTCTTCAAATGCAATGCCCCACATGTCTTCTTCACAGACAGGTTGATTACTTCAGGTTTGGTTAAAAGAAAATTTAAGGCAAGTTACTGTAGTGAGGAGTATATATTCCAGCTACATCATGGCGGCCTGTAAGTATTCGAGCCTGGACCAGACAAGCAGGTAGGTGATACTGAGAGAAATGTACAATCAGGGTACAATGATGTGCAATCAACCCAATCTCCAAGACAATTCATTTGGTTGCCTCTTACAACAAGCATAGATTGCTGGGGACCTATTCTAACTTGTGATCCTATGGTGCCCTTCCTACTGGGGTGGTTACTTCAGGCCAAGATGGAAGACACTTTGAATTGTTTGTATTAGAAAGCTACTTTGGCTTTCATGGATTCAACAAAATATCCTAGGGTTGACATGATGTATAAATGTGAGTGAATGACAACGCAGCATTTTAATCATATCACAGCATGTCATTTCATGCTGGAGGTAAACCCATGTGACACTTGTCATCAATGCTCATCCTCTTCAGGGACAAAGACAGCCACCAGTCTGTTAGTCCGAGACAAGTCAAAATCCAGAGAAATTAGTTGTTTTCTCCCAAAATCAAGTCATGAAACCTGCCTCTTCATGAAACTCATGACTATGTGCAGGCAGTGAAACCCTTGGATCACAACCAGGGTAATTCTGGAACCATCAACACCCTAGGGATTCAAACTGCACAGTGAGTTGCATGCTGCCTCTACACCACTTGCCCACCTGATCACTCTATTTGCAGCTACCAAATATCAAACAAAAAATAACTTATCATTAAAAGCAGTGGCAGAAATTAGCCCCTTTCAGCCATTGGTCTCCATAATAACATACATTGGAAACCAGTATAAAATTGTATCCTTTCATCGTGTCTTAAGAATATCTTAATAATTAAGCCTTTTGGCTTGCACAACGGGAATGCTCATTTCTGAACCTGCTGTAAGTTTGTGCAAATTGACGAGCAAATGAACATCCCATCCTTGATTCATGAGCATCCCCACTGCCATACAAATGTCCATTTGCAATGAGATCCTCCTCAACAACTAGTAACAAATGGCTGATTAAGGACACACCAGAATATCAAAATAGAACCACATCTTCTCTCCATTAGTTGACCTCTTGCCCCAGCTGCAGGGAATAATGAGTGTTTTTGTTCCCAATTAAAACAATTTATAACATCCTGCACAATGCCTCTTGACCAGTGCATTCAGTGGTCAACAGTTTGACCAATCAAGCGTGGTTGTCAGAACCACATTGATCAGCGCTTTGGAGACAAAGACAAAATGACTGGACAAAGAATCAAGTTGTTTCCATTTCTACTTTAATACAGCAAGCAGTGCTATCTACGAACAATGTAGCTTATTGGGCATTTTTCTTTCTTATTAATCGACCAAATCTTTGGATAACTGTGACATGATTATAAAGATTTTCATTTGTTTGTTTGTTGTTTAACGCAGCACTCAGCAATATCCCAGCTATATGACGGCAGTCTGTAAATAATTGAGTCTGGACAAGACAATCCATGATTGACATCATGAGCATCGGTCCACGCAATTGGGATACGATGACATGCATCAACCAAGTCAGTGAGCCTGACCACCCGATCCTGTTAGTTGCCTCTTACGACAAGCATAGTCGCCTTTTATGGCAAGCATGGGTTGCTGAAGACCTATTCTACCCTGGATCTTCACGGGTCATTTATAAAGAATGTTGTTATTAGGTCAAAATGGCTCCAACATGAAGTAGAAAATAGTTATCTGAAAGTCTAACTCCATTCATATAAGAGGATGTACCTTATGCTCCCAAATGAAGAGCAATCTGACCTGAAGTGTAATACCAACACTCTGGTTGTATTGATCCAGATACAAAACAAACTAAATACCTTTGTTTTACTGAAATACTCGTGCATTATAACTGACAAGTGAAACCACACATACACACACCTGAAGGATAAAATTAAAAGAGAGAGCCTCGATTAAAGAAATCTAGTCTTTGTGATCTACGAGTGGTCACATCTTCTTCATGGTGCCAAGGACTTCATGTTTTTCAGGGTATTACGCAGTACATGAATAGAACACTTGACTTCACTTTCCCAAGCCAAATGGAAAGAATTAACTCCTTGTTGTCTTTGATCTTATGAAAGTTAGAGACTGAAAGGAAATCCTTCCAAATGAGTTTTTAATGGGACACTCACTTGATTACATTCTCATTCAACAATCAACTGAAAACATGAAATGTCATTTTTGTAGTGCTAGATTGATACATGTACTCAGAACACATCAAGAATGTGTGAAACACACAACACAACACACACATCAAATAGTACAATTCAGACATGCATAAGAAAAGTTCAATCACTATCGTTTTCAAAATGGCCTCCATTTGGAGACTTCTCATAGAGACACCATAGCACATCCTTTGAACATAATGTCGATTTGAACTTAATCAATCAGAACTTGTGATATTTTTTCCAACATGGATTGCATACAAAATGGTTCTTTGCAAGCCTGCTCTTCCTCCATGCAAGTAAACTATCATCTATTTCTTGTATTGATCGACAGCTCCTATACTTCAGAATGCTGTCGTTTTTAGTTATTTCATATGAAGGAATGAGAGGCCAATTTCATCTCATTACAAAACATGACCAAGATAGACCATGACAGTGTTCGTTTGACCTGCCAAGTCACAGTCTTGCATTCTTGTTCGTTTCAAAGCAAAGACTTTTCTATCAATCATTATTTTGAGAATTCTTATTATGAAAGATTAATTGAAAACAGAATCATGTATTCAGGACACATGAGAACTTGATGTTTTAGAAAGCTTTTGTGTTAGTTTTCAAAAAGCTAATTACCTTAAAATACTGTCTATATCAAAGAAACAGTAGAGGTTATCGATCATGTAGTACATGGCACATCAAACCCTGGTTGGGAATGGGTTGTGACATGGTGCTTTTAAATTCAACATTCAGCAAATATAACTTTCCATGTTACTTTGTTAGCTAATGTATCATAAATTAGAGTGAGTAATTTGTCAGGGCTGTCAACAAACATAGTAAACTATATAAACCAGTGATGGAAAGTGTGATCAACAATCCACACTACAGTGAAACAATGGTCTACTATCAACCAGCCTGGGACTTGTCTGGGGGCCACAATCCAGTTTCTGTCCACACAATCCACATTTTAACCCACCCTTTCAGAAATATCTATTCTTAAGAATCCTTTGAACAAGTAGAACAACATATTTGTTATACGTTTTATAGGTTTCATCCTCTGGTGCAACTTATAACCTAAACTTACCCCTAGTTTCCACAAAGTTGTGTCCACCCCCAAAGTAGACCTTGGGATCAAGTGTCATGAAATACTGGCTTCCGTTGATGAGTTTGTGATGTCTTTCCCCATCCAGAAACACGTCCACGTCTCTCTTGGAGTGGCTGATTGTCACATTGTGCCACCTGAAACAGCAAAACACTGCATGCACACATTGTAGTGGAAAATAAATCCTAGCACTCGTTTCCATGGAATTGGTTTCTATGGTCTGAAGATGTCCTTCTTTATGCCCTTGTTTCCCTAACATCCCCCTGTTGTTTATCCTTACTGAGCGCTTGCTTGTGTCCGAATTGCATGCTGTAAGTACATTACCAATGAGCAGGGAAATATTTCCTTTAATATTGATCTGATAGAAAAAAACGAAATTGATTATGGTGTTTTTTTCAGAATATATTTGGAGACAAATTGAGAGACTCCAGTAACAACTTCCTGACAAGATGGAGCAGCTCCTGTCTTATCTTGAAGAAGAAATACTGTGCAGAAGAGAAGTGTATAGTAGGTAGTGTGGGAACAAAATATTAAACTTTCCCCCCCATATGTCAATCTTTTTCAACTGACAATATGGATATATCCAAATGTTTACCCTTTTTGTAGGTAAAAAGAAATTTTTGTCATGATGTATGTGATGTCGACATGTTATTGATTCAATACTTCACGTCCACCAACTTCCAAGCGATCACTATTTGGAATGTTTCCACAACTTTCAATATGTTTAAACTGATATGACCAAAAAAAGTCGGACCAACTGATCTGAATCTTTGTAATGAAATGTACAAGGCCAAAACCATCTTTGAAATTGAAATTGAAATAAAAACTACCAGTAAATCAACCAAATTCAATTCAAATATAACTTTTTGAACACAGTTAGTTAACTGAAATACATATTTGAGGGTGGAATATTTATTGAGCACATGTTGAGAATTCCATAATTCATTTCCACTTTGACAGAAACATCTCCCAAAGATCGATTTAATTAAACATTGTATCATTACTATTCATCACCAACAATCAAAGCATTTCTTGCCATCTCGGACATTTCTAAGGAAACTGGATATGCCATCCCTTCGTAAAGATACAGACACTTGACTTATAGTTACATGTTGAATATAACTGTAAATGTCACATCTTCAACTTACATTTCCTCCATGTCAAATAACATTTCTGAAAAGTTCAAATCTGAAACTTCTCCACAAAAAGATGAAGATCAACACGAAACATAACTATCATGATCTTTTTCATTTCTATAAGATGCTGTCAGTAAGAATCAGCTTCTTTTAAATAAATCATTCCAAATATCTGTATCATTTCAACTCTTGCTGTTAAACATCTTTGAGATGCTGTTAACACAAAATATATTGTTTGATATTAAAGTTAATCACCACAGATAACATCATCAGAATTTTCACACAAAGTAAACATTCGAAAGTAACAAACAATCACAAGTTACTGTACAAGATGATCACAGCATGACACAGGAAGTAACAATCGGCACATGCAGAAACAAACTCCTCATGTACACTCACCATCCGTGTAAATAGCATCTTAAAGGGGCATTTTAGAAGCTGTGAAGACAGGGTTGACATACACTTCAGCTTCTTTATTCCTTCAAGGTGACATTTCTAGACAGATGTTGGTACCTTTTATTGAGCAAGAGAACCCCATGATTGATACAAGCATTGCACTGAAACATTGCAATGAATCATGTGCATGTGCGTGTTGCTACTTGTATTGGTCCGGATTAATGCCGATTTAATAGTGCTAATCCACTGAGATACCATGCTGCAGTTTAACATGAATACCCCACTCAGACAGAGTATACTGACTCCGAGCCGACCAGTCCTTGTTTCAGCCCCTTAGTGCAGAGCAGCAAGCAGGGTAACAACAAGTACCATCTTTTAACATATGTTCGTATGCTGCACCCGGGCATCGAACCCTGGACCTTCCACTCTCCCGAGCTGACGCTCTACCACCAGGCCACGGAAGCAGTCTCGTATTGAAAGCATAAAGAAGTTTGAAACCATAATTCAACTCTGTCTTCATTGTTCTGAAAACATGAAACGTTAACTTGCATCCCAATAATGAGCCTCATACACAAATCTGCCTCCCCATCTATGGATGAGCAACTCAACTAGGAACAATCCCACAACACCAGAATCAGGAAGGAAGCATGTACAACATCCCCAAGGAATCACAAACACGATCCCGCTCAGTAAGAACTATTGAATAAAGATTAGAGAAATAATCCATGACCCTCTGGGGAAAATATTACTATACATGTGTGGAATTTGTGTACCCGCCATTGTTATCATGGAGATATCGCCTTACACTACAGCTGGAGTGCTATGAGGGGTAGGGGACCAAAAAATATACCACTCAACATTTGATAGGGATATATGTCCAGGTTGGCGTAAATCTAACTGGTTGTTAGGAGATGTTGTCATACAAGTATGTGAGGTTTAACGCCATTTTAACAGTATTTCAGTCATATCACTGTGTGTCAGCTTAATTTTGGAAGAAAGCCCGAAGTGATGCAGGTCTCAGACATTTACCACTTTGGTGAAAATCACGAGCACGGGTATGGTGCTGACAAACCTAGAAACATAATCAGGGCGAACCAGGATTCAAACCCACAATCATAGGTTTCTGGCATGCCCAAGGGATGCAACTCTGCACAGCGAATCGCAGCGCCTTAGACGACTGGGCCAACTGTGCCCCCTTGTTGTACAAATAGGTTATGACTTTGTCTGGACCTGATGCATGCTATGCTTTATTTCCTTATGAACAAAAGTAAACATTGATAGACATTGTTATCTTCTGACTTTCGTAAGAGTCTGAACGGCACAGCATGCACATCAGTAGTTGAGGAGCAATGTTCAGACTCGTGCATTTAACAGAACAAAGGACTCGGGTTGTCATCTTGGGAGAGAAGTGAAGCCTGCACGAAACAAAGACTAACATCTTCCCATTCTGTGTTTCAAAACCGTTTAAACTATGTGACACCTATTGTGATATTGCAGAAACCTAACAACTTCGGACACATGCATGCCTTCATGTTTAGTTTTGTTTAATATAACAGAAATTGAAACTTAACATGCATCAGTCCAGCCCAAATCGCATCCTGTTCGTACAGCAGCATTTCCAAAATCCAGTCAGATCTATCTGTCCAATCAGGACACTTGGAATATCCCTATCAAACGTTTAATAGTATAAGTAGTGCAGGAAGTGCCAGACTACAGTAACTATTGACTCAACTGACACTGTTCTCTGCTTAAGGAAGATAGAACAAGGTGGCTGATATTTGTTTGCACAGACAGAATCTTGTGAGAGAAAGGAAATTTTATCGACAGTTTTATCCTCAAACAGGGTTGATTTCAAATGTGATCAGTTTTCACCATCATTGGCAGTTAAAACTAGAAGGTAGGGCTGGGACTGGTAACTTGGGTACTCGGGTCGGGTGGGTGCTGAGTAGGAGAAGAAGTATGTGGCAGTCTAGCAGGTTTGAAAAGGAGAATCAAACCTGTCTCCAACTACTGGGATACCGTACATACCCTATTTGAAACACAGGGATGAAAAGTATTTTAGCTGAATAGCCATGGAACTATGGGGACCTAATAGACTGGTTGACCTAGAGTGAGTGAGTTGGGTTTAATTCTGCTTTGAACAGTATTCCAGTTATATCATGGCGTGGAGACGTTGACCACTTCGGTGAAACCCAAGAGAACAGGGATGGTCCTGACAAACCCACAATCAATGTTTTCTGTCGTTTCCAAGGGATGCAACTCCCACAGCAAATTACGTCTCCTCAACTATCCAAGGAAATTATGCAGATGGCTTCCAAATCCACAGAGTTCTGCAGATTATCACCCCAGCGGGGAGGTGTGCAGGTATCAGCTGCACTCAAAGCCCAGGTACAACACCTTGTCAAATATTTGAAAGTCTTGACATATATACATTCTCGTTTACTCTGCAAGAAAACATTTAATCTTCCTGACCTGCTTGGAAATATGCATCCATCTTGCAAAAACATGCACTGACCTCAAAATTATCAAAGAAAATGATATATTCCATTACATAAACAGAAATGTTTGCTTAAGAATTATGAAAAAATTATTCATGAGCATGTCAATCAAATAGTCATGCAATTCTTTCATCATAAACAGTATTTCATGACACAATAAACAAACTTGTCGACATCAACCTACAGAGAACATACTTGGGAGTTTCTATCAATTCAGGATCATGAACTGGATATTACCAAGAGACTGCTTACTGGGCAAAAAAAACCCTCACAGCACAGTGCTATTCTGTTTGCCTAACATCTATATGCCATTATCCTCAATCATTCACGGGCTTAAGTGCTGAAGTTTAAACTGCATGTAGTATTGTGGTTAGACCTAGCCTGAACCCATGAAGCACATGACAGACTCGTCAATCTAATGCTTTTTTGAAGGGTACCCCCAAAATCAGTTGTTGTGCAGTGAGCACTTTCAAGAGAAGATAATCTTTTAATTCAGGATTATCTCTTTTTGAATTTTAAACTGTAAATACTGCATCTTTTGTGTCAGTTGATACTCACTGTAAACTTGAACCCATACAACTTTGATAACTTCCATTTACAATGGGCACAAGTTTCATCAAAATTGATTAAAATTTAGCCAAAAATCCTCCCCTTGTAGATTATCATTAAATAGATAAATTCTATACGAACTATTTTCTTTCAATTTGGCAAAAATTTAGCAGTTGCTGGTATATTTCCCTCAATGTAGAAAGGATCTTGAAAAATGTTGACGGGTCAGCATTAACAAGTTTAACGAATAGACAATAGTAAGGGAGGATGGTGTAAAGCCACTGCAATATTCCAGCAATATCACAGCAAGGGACAACAGAAGTAGGCTTCACAAATTGTACCAGGTGGGAAAATCGAACCAGGACCTTTGGCGTGACGTGCAAACACCTCACCCACTAGGGTACCGTCATAATAAGTCATAACCTGTGGTATCTTCAAGTACAATAGCTACATCTAATGTAATACCAATATTACCTTCCCAAGGCAAGGGAGTTAACACACTATAAAAGTCGTTTCCACCCTTGCCAAACTAGGCTGGAACTTAGGAGTGATATTTTAGCAGGACTAACGAGTCTGCATAGTCCAATCAAAATGGTGGAATAAAAATCGACATCCGGTTCGTAAACATGGCAACTGCCCTGCAGATTTCGGTCGACTGCAGGATTTGTAAAGCATGTGTACCATCAATTGGGCATCAATAGATATTTTCCAAATCTTTTCATGTTTTCTAATCAATGTGCTCAAGTGTTGGGCTACAATCCACATGCACTGGGTGTCTTAGACAGGGAATATGAAACCTTTCTTCGATTAACTTGATCAGATCATCTTGACCATTTAGTTTGAAGCAAATGCATGTGATACGAGAAGTGGAATCTGATTGGTCAGTAAAAGGGACACAGAAGGGACATAACTTGTATTAGTCACTGGTGGTGCAAGATCAAGCCACAGAATTCCAGTCTAGTTCGGCAAGGTTGGAAACTGGACTTTTATAGTCAGTTAACTCCCTTGTCTCTGGAAGATGTACCATCAAATGACAAATACATTTATTGTATGTCCAAAATACATGGGATAATATACATGTTTCTTGAGTTTTCTAATAAGGCTATAAAATAAATAAATTTCTAATATACACACCTAGAAAAAATCTATACACAATATACTGAGAATGAATTTTGTGTGATACAAGCTCAAACGTGTGTGTTGAATGCTTGTCTGTTTATGTATGTACACCTTATCAGCAATATACATCCATATTAAACTGTTACACCTTAACACTTAGATCTGTCAAAGACTCAGGTACCGAACCAAAATTAAGAAATAAATTCAAGAAACAGATATATCAAAACATTTCTTGATTATTTTATCATTATTATTTTTTTGAGATCCCAATCAGAAAATATGAATTTTGACTGCGTATGCCTGAAATTATGATAAAATATATTGAAAGACCTTTGCGTAATGCATATATGACTGTGGATTGACCGAGATGGATATTTCAATCAGTACTATATATGGATGAATATCGTAACTGACCATGCATGTAAAAACAGTAATCCCTGTCATGCTATGATATGATATGACAACCATGGAAACAATGGATGTGATCGTAATGGTGTGATGTCATGAAATGTTCAGATTATCTTAATGTTATCACTAACCTGTTACAAAAAAATGTTTTCTCACAAATATATTACTGAAGACATATATTATACTTGTCTTTTGCCCTCAAACAGATGCAGAAATAGTGAGTGAGTGAGTTTGGTTTAACGCCGCTTTTAACATATCACGGCGTGTCAGCTTAATGTGGGAGGAAAGCCTGAAATGATGCAGGTTTCAGACCTTTACCACTTCAGTGAAACCCGTAAGCATGGGTATGGTGCTGACAAACCTAGAAACATAATCTGGGCGAACCGGGATTCAAACCCACAATCATAGGTTTCTGGCACAGCGAATCGCAGTGCCTTAGACAACTGGGCCACCCGTGCCCCCAGATGCAGAAATAAGAGGGGTTGGTTTACTGCTGCTTAGAACAGCATTCCAGTTATATCATGCTTGTCAGCTTGATGTGGGAGGAAAGACCGAAGTGTCTTTACCACAATAGTGAAGGCCACAAGCATGATTTTAGTGATGAAAAACCTAAGGGCACAATTCAGGACAGCAAATTGCCACCAGTAGTATTTTAGCTAACTGTGACCCCTTCTTTGACAAGAACGAAGTTCTAGTGTCATGTACTACTCAAAAGAAGTTACAGACCACCCGATTCTTTCATATTACTATAGTGAATCTGTCATTGTCAACTTCTTATGGGTAGCATATTCACAGGGCAGGTATAGTTCCACAACTGTCATACATCTATGTTAAAGTATGGGAATTATCACAGTTGTCCTGCCACTATCAACTATGTTATGAGGACCATAGCCGTAACAACAGGGCTTCCCCACAGTGATGAAGAAGATAATTGCTTAAAAAATACTTAAGAAAACACACCGACTGTGCAACAAGTTTGTAAGGGTTAATAAATTGGGAAAGTTAGCACACTGTTGGGTGCACAAATGGTGAGTTAATTGTAACAGAAGTGATGACAAGATTTAGTATTAATTCACTGGAAGGAGATAATATAACAGGTTGGGTAAATGAAACAAGGGCACCATCACCATTATGCTGCGCTGAAAACACTATCTTTAATACAGCACAATAAAAGATATTCCCAAACTGTTACTGTAACTTTAAAACATAGTCTGCAGGTCATAAAGGATCATATCAGTCTGCTTCAATAAAAAGGTTAAATTCTTAATAATCATTACAATTTTAGAAAGGAAATCAAAATCCTGTACTTAAGAATAAAGCCTAATCAATGTTAGCACTAAGGCTAAACTACCAGATTACTAAACCTACAAAAAATTCAATTTTGTAAAGCAAGCAAAATGATGTATTAAAGACATATCTCGGTTACACTAATCTGGTAGTTTAGCCTAATACCAGCATGATTAGATTAAAGCAATAAGGACGAAAATGATACTCTTCTTTTCCATAACTTTGCGTTATACTTTGAAGCTAATGACATATTATAGATTGAGTGTGCTTCATTCTCAAATGGTATTTGTCCACTAATACAAATCCATCTTTGAACTATCTTAAACCCTTCTGCATTAACTTAGACTTTCGTACATTTTAGGAAAGATAGTCACATAAATTCAATATGGCCACCATAGTGGCCATTTTGGATACCAAACCAGAGTTATGGATGAAAACACATTAAAATAAGGCCATCGGAGACAACATTCACGTACATAGTGATTATCAAACAATACTTACAAAACTATCATTACCATCACTACTTATTTATTTTATAAACAATTCCTACAGTTGTTAAATTTGCCTTTTGCAAGATATTTCTGCAGAAGCATTACCATCAATGCATTGAATTTACATACTTTAGATTAAGCTCAAAAAGGTACTTTCCTTAGCACATGGATATTACAGGTTCAGCAGACTGAGAAACAATCAGTTTTGAATATTCCCTCATTCACTCCAGGAAAGGTGAGATTACTGGAAGCAATCACTTTGCCAGGTGAGTGACGGGAATAGATTTGAAAAGGAAACAATTTAGTCATTTACTGGACCAGATTACTATCTAATGATGTTAGCTTCAAAGATATTTTCAACTGATAGAAAGTCCATACTACATACATATGGGGGCGTTTTCTTGCAGTGAGATCTCAAAATAGTTAAGACTGGAAATTGTCATCCATCTGCTGATCCCTACTCAAGGAGTTCTGTTAAAACGGTAACTGCAAGATTTTATAAATTATCACATTTTCATCCCTGCCCTTCACTACCAAACACCAGGCTTACATTGTATTGTCCCCAAGTACCTACTGGCAGTGAAAAGTGCTACATGCGTTCCCCTGATGTTTGTATGAAATACACAACACAAGTAGATATACCAAACATTAATACATCATGTGGACCACATCCATTCACAGTTACCAGACAATAAGGCCTTGAACAGGGTTTATTTCCCAAAAATATCTTAAAAAAAACCAAAATTGACTACTTCCTATTATTACTTTTCATTAAATTTAGATGAATTACTAATAGTTAATCATTTGTGGCCATCAAAAGTTATATTAATACTGGGATATCAACTTACCAAGATCTCCTCAAGACTACCAAGGAGTGTAGATCATTGCAATTACTGCTTCAAATATTTTCAATAACTGAAACCTGATGAATAGAATTATCTCCAGTGAAAACCACAGTGATATCATCTCCGATGGAGTTCGTAAATATGTATGTCTTTATTGAACGTAAAAATAAAATAAAATGAGAAAACCTCATTTATAAGTCTTCTAAAATGATCAAAATGAAAATTTTCTAATTTAAAGAATTGATATGATCTTCAAGGAATAATATATTTTGTTTACCCATCTCTCAGCAATAGACCATAAAAAAAGCTGTGAACACCCACAGTGTTAATTAGGCCATGTTAATTACCACACCAACATTAATTTAACCATGATTGATGACTGATTGGTTGGATGAGCACCGGATGTTATTCTGGGAGTGAAACAGGAATATAAACAATGCTGGAACATGAATTGAACATCTTACCTTTTCGATCTGTTTGAGAAAACAAAACAAAAGTCATAAAACAAACAAAATCAAACAGAAACAGAAATTAATCAACTTACAGACCTTGAGCGGAAATAGTTCCTTCTTCATTTTGTGATTCATAAAACATACAAATGTTTGTACCATCATAGAACACTAACTCTAAAACATATAACCTTAAATGTACATCAACCATGTAACAATACACTGCTGACAGAACTAGGGATCATATACTACTCACAAAAAGCTAAGGACTCTCATTCTTTCATATTACATGTACTTTTTTTTCTTTAAACCGATGTGACGGCTGTCTGTTAATAATCGAGTCTGGACCAGACAATCCAGTGATTGACATCATAGGCATCGATCTATGCAATTGGATCGATGACATGTATCAATCAGGCCAGCAAGACTGACCAACCCATCCTGTTAGTTGCCTCTTTAATGACAAGCATGGGTTGCTGAAGACCAATTCTAACCCAGATATTCATATTACTATAGTTGGTCTGTCATGCCATGACAGATTAACTATCAAAGAATTAGGTGGGTTTTAACTTATTTTTTTGGGTGGTATAAATAATAATTATCTGTTATTATATTTCCTGTGTACGTTTTAGTAACTATTTATGATTAAATAATTCCAATGCCCAAAGCCAGGATTTGTCAATTTTCTGTTTGGGTGAAAAAATTATGACAGGCTGAGTTTGTTCATACTCATAAAAAGAAATTAGCCCAGGCAACCTTATGTAAATTTCCAACATCTGGTCAGCAATATTCCAACTTCTGTAAGTGGTATTTAGAAGTTAGTGTGATGAAGTAAGACAAGTTCTATGGATGAACAACTTCTTTATTACAATTAGTGCGACGTTTCGTTGTAGATCCTAACTTGCTTGATAAAGGTGTTAGGATCTACACCGAAACGTCGCACTAATTGTAATAAAGAAGTTGTTCATCCATAGAACTTGTCTTACTTCAATATTCCAGCTATATTGTATCAAGACAAACCAATGGTTGTTAGTATGAGTTAAATGTCCCATGCCACTGGGGTTTGAGGACACTTAAATAAGCAATAAGCCTGCCTGCCTGCCCACCCGATCCAATTTTGTCACTTCTCACAATAAACAATGAAGTGCTGCAGACCTGTTCTGTCTTGGGTCCCCATGGAATTAGCCACAAGGACCTGGCACAAAAATTAGGTTTTCCTCATTCTTCCATACCAAAGCTTACCATCTGACCTCATACAATAGTTTTGTACATATAAAAATTGATGACTCAAAGGCAAAATATATATCCAAATCAATCATATTCAACAGCTTTTGAAAAAAAAAGAGCCAACTTTTCAAAAACCTCACTGACTTGCATCATCTAATCATTTGAATGTTTGTCTTCATATGACAATACACACTTTTGGAAACAAAACAATGAAAGTCATACCAATTATAATTCACAAATCACAAACAAGCTTTAATTACACATCATTACGAAATATATACATCAGTAATGTAAATGACCGCTTGAAAAAAAACCACATGCACATAAATTGTGTTGTACACATATCACTGGCATGACATTTTGAATCTGACATGTAACGGGACTCCGAGACAACATGTCTCCCTCCACCCAGACATAATGGCTGCACATTTGTCACTATCATCATTATATAAACCTGATCATTTGAGTCGTAGAAATCCTTCTTTGAAGAAACTATGATGACAATACTCCTTACATGGAACTAGAGGTTAGCTAACCTTGGAAAGAAGATGAGGACTGACCTCGGTGTGATTGTCACAAGTTTATCGGCAGCTTTTGGTCATATTTACTGACAATTAAAAGACATGCATCATTCTTAGCTTGCTTCACACAATTTGAAGCAAACAAGCTCATGCCACCAAGAACCAATAAAATAATTCCTGACATTTTATTGATTAAACGCAAATCTCAAGGGTTACTTGGGATTTTTAAAATACTGTTTTCTGGCAACAGCTTGTCCAATTATTCCTATATTAGAAGTCCAAACATCTTGCTGTATAGAGAGGATGTTATCTAATTTAATATTTTAAGCACCATTTTGAAGGTCACGGTAAGCACTAGATGTTTAAGTATCAAGGAAGTGCCATGGGACCCTTACATTACAATCTGATACAGGACCCAGTTCCACAAAGGGATCTTAGCACTACAATTGTCATAACTCTATGTTAAAGCATATTGGAGTTAATATTGTATTAGTGCTAAGATTGCTTCATGGAATGGGCCCAGGGCCCTGTTCCACAAAGCGAACGTAGCGCTACGACTGTCGTAAGCTAATGTTAAAGTATGGGATTTATGATCACCTTAGCGCCATGATCGCTTTGTGGAGCGGGGCCCAGATCAGTACTGGTAAATGTAAATTTGCAAAATAATCTTCTCTTTTCTTATGTCTGTTTCAGACCTGACAACTCTACCTCATCATTATTTACAACTGAAGCCCATATCCACAAAGATTTGTTTTATAAATTCTGAAAGAATTGTTAAAAATCTATCAATAACATTGATGATAATAATAACCATACCATATCACCACTAGCCATCAGTCATGGGTTGAGAGGCAGGAATTCGTCACCAAGGTTTTCGCTTGTAATAATCCACAAAACCCCCCAAAAGAAACTTAAATCTATTAAACTTTGCCACCCCTTAACAAATCAGACATAAACACAAAAAACATTTGTCTTCGTTATCTACCCTTCTCTGACCTTTGAGGTAATTGCCCTGACCTCTCTCAGTTCATATGATTATAGTTTTATGTCCTCCCTCCCTCCTCGTTAGGCTATTACTCTCATGAACCCCCATTTCTTGGACAGGTCACTTTCATAAACATCACACCTAATAGGTTGTTGGGCTTTCACCTGGCTATATAAGCCATGCGATTATTAACAGAATCATAAAAGTCCTCCTTATTTTTATCAGGAATGTACAAAGTAGGTGTAAGATTTTCTAATTATACGGTAGAGGAGAAATAATTACAAATATGTCTTTGTTTGTTGTGTGGTCATGAAAGGAGTGGAGTCTAAGAATTTGGACACAAAATCCCCAAACAAACAATACTTGGCAGCGATAGGAACTAACTATTTTAGCCCACTAGTCCTTATAATAACATATAGCAAAACCCTTAAAAAGGGCAAATTTCTACTAGTCCTCAGGATACCTTAACTATTGGGCAGTTTGGCAAGGACTATATGACTGGTGCCAATTTCTAATGTTGCTTGTATGTCATGGGAGCAGTTTTCAACACGGAAACAGCTTTCTTAAAAAGGGTTGTATTTTGTCGTTTGACAATTCATGCTGTAACTGGCATTTTGTTGGAAAACATATCACTAAATGAGTAAGTTCTAGTGTTGTCATATATGTCAAGATATACCTGATCACCAATAAAATATGGATGTTAAATATGCTTCATGTTCTTTCAATGGCAAGTGAATATAATTATATTATTTCCTAAGACTGTCAGTAGTCCTGGCCATTCCCATGCATACAAATGTGATGTTTGCTTAATGCAGGATTCCTTTCATGTGTCAGACTGACTTTTAACATGGCCCTTGTTACTTCCCTTCTGAAGAAATCTATAACATATGACCCATGCTTATCTGGTATGAATATTCATGAAGTACTCAGGAAACCATTTATTAGTGAATATTTCCATCGTGAACAAACAAAGTGACATCTCGCAGTGAATGGAAATGTCATGTTTTGTCAAAACACAAATTTACAAAGGATTCCTTCAGCAAGACGCTTTTACAGTTTGGTGCTAAACAACAGTACTAAGGAGATCCTACGGTCGTGTTTATAATAACATCCATCTTCAAACAGCAAGACGTCTGGCTAAGGACCAGATTGTTCTGATCCCCTTTCACTGTATACTGACCAAAACACTGTCTAGAGGAGGACTGTTTGGAGCCAGGAAGATTAAATATGATAAGCATACTATTTTCACCTTAATCATATATTGTATGTCAACTGGGTATTCATTTGAAAGCATTACTTTTTTGCTTCAAAAGGAATGGTCAGATTTGGTGAAAAAAATGGAATATTTTACAATATATAAAAAAATGTTTGACAAAAGTTTGGTACTATAAAGCCTAAAAGCTCAAGATGTGAGTGTCTACATGTCAACGGAATCCATATTAGCTGTTGTAAATGATAGGATTATCTTAGTAAGTATCTACAAACACGAACACCCTTCCGATAGGACTGATTAAGACTTGACAAACTGTTGAGCTTTGACACTATTCTCACCTATATGGCAAAACAAACAATATGAAGTGGAGAGATCAGAGAGATTAAAAGAGCTGAATCGTCAGGTTACCTGCCATTGTCGAGCCCCAATCCCATGGCAAACTCAATGTCAGTGTCAGCGATGGCGATGGAGACCTGGAGGACCCCCACATTGATGGCCGCTGTGAGGTGGGAGTGGAACGGGGTGCCCCCTACTGCGTACAGCAGAACTCCTGACCCACGCTCAGTCTGAAAACAGGAGGGAAAGGTTCATTTAGACTAACAGATTATTGGCTATGAAATGTTTTATTACCAGTATGCAATAAATTCTTTGGTTAGTTTGTAACTAAAAAAATTGAATTCTTATGCTGATTCTGTAAAACAGTGCGTTTCCATCTCACTGTAAAATTATTATCAGAAGGCAATTGTTTGTTAAGTCATGAGTCAGAAACCATTTCATGTTTCATAGATGTTATCAGTAATGAATGCATCAAGCTCAACAAGCTACATTATTATTGAAATGACAATCATGGCTATTCAGTGTTTGAAATTAACTAATTAATCTTTTAATTAATTAACACTTATTAATTAGTGTTTGGTTATAGAGGTCCATGTCATAGGCCTAATGTTAAAAATTCAAATTTAGATTTTTGGGGTCCCAATATTCAAATACAACAGGAGCCAACTTAAAGGACCTAAAAAAAACCTGAGTTTCAAACATTGCTATCATATCATGTGAGGCAGGTCGGGCAGAAACTTGACAATTGATTCACTATGGCCTAAAATGTATTACGCGACATATGATTTCCAAAACTGCCAACATGTCACTGCAACTGATCATTATTTGTGCATGTGCTCCCATTATGATTAATCATTTTTTTTAAATTACAACTTGGTTGAATAAGTTATATCATCAGAAATGCAGACACTAATCTAAGACAAACACTTCCCATACAAGCTGTGAACACATCAATATGGAAACCCAATATTTTATTTCTGAAGAAAAAAACCCCTTAAAGTTTATTGTGTTCGATCATTTCACTTTTTATTTTGTGGTAATCTTATCCATAACCTTCACAAAGTTCTGTGAAGCATCAGAATGTCCCTTTAAGTGTCTCTTATCATGGAAACTATGCTCAATTAGTGATACCCATCCCATACAGATGTCTCCTGGGCTCCGTATCACTTCTCAAGTATCCAATCTTTGTTCGTGATCATCATGATATAAGACCCATATTACCCAGAAACCTGTACAATGGAGATCAGAGACAGTAGCGGCACCTAGACTGCGAGGAACAGTCACCGCGACACAAGTTCATCCGTGTCACAAACCACTCCCCAGAACAGGTTTTTTATTGACACACTGGAAAGAAATATGGACAGAGTGCATCCCCCTGCCAAGCCCAATTGATAAACCCTGAGTATGGTTTGCTTCACGATAACATGCCTCTTCCTTCTATCTGCCTCATTGTGAACTGAATCAAGACAGCAATATTTGTACACTTAATATCTCTGAACATGGTAAGCGACAAAAATGTTACAAAAAATGTTACGAATTGGTTCTAAAATATAATCCAAGTTTCAATACCAGATTTATGAATTTTATGAAATTTGTTCACCACTTCCTTAATCCCATAAAGTAATGTTCAATACATCATTTACCTGAAGCTGTGACAGATGGTCCGACTGATCAAATATTACCTCACAAAACATATTCATGATCAATAGTCCTTTAACATGCATGAAGTCTAAACCATCTTAATCATGTTTCTGATGGGATTTAGCTGTGCCAGTCAACTTTCATCATTCTAATACTCTACTTCCTGTTAAAGTTAAAAATAATTGAGTTCAAAATCTATTTAATCTTACACAGAACACAAAGCAATATTCATAAACCACAGGACTATTGTCATTATTTGATCCATGTGGCTGCAACACCACCAGCAGAACACATTTAGCAAACCCATTCCCATCCCTGATGCTTTCAAATAGAAACCTAAAATACATTTCAATGTAAATTGATTTGCTTAATCCATTTACCAAAACTTTAGTTCAAAGGAGGTGTGTTTTTCCTCTTTGAAAGCAGGGTTGATAACGTTTGTGTTAGATAAGGAAAAGCATATAAATTCTACGGGATATAAAAGTCACTGGTTTATCTCCGAAGTGTTATAAATGAGTGAGTGAGTGAGTATGGTTTTACGCCGCTTTTAGCAATATGCCAGCAATATCACAGCGGGGGACACCAGAAATGGGCTTCACACATGCATTATGAATGAAAGGAGAATCAGACTTGCAAATTGGAGATATACATCTGGTTAGTAATCACTGTTTGTTTTTTGAGTGTGCAGTTACAAATTAATCTACTGTAGCACTGGACCACACAAGACAGTGTAATCTGATCATACTTCATTAAGATTGTATCATTTGTGATTGGATTTGAAGAATAAATATAATTTAAGAAAACCTTGCATTGCAAAATCTAAAGTGAAAGTTCTTATTTATCAGTGAAAGGAATTAAGAATGATAGTCAAGGGATCCTCAGAATGATTCTATTTGTAAAACTTAATTCTAACAGTGCAGTACTCAATATTCAATTGGACAATAACCCATGAGCTATGAGGATTTACAGACTCTCTGCCCTGACAGAAGGAATGGTGCACTGAGCCTTATGTGAGAGACTTACAGCATTGACTCATGCAGGACATATAGTCCTAAGTCTTGAGGTGGTTACTCTATATATACTACTAAACTTTTGATACAAATAATCTGAGCCTTCATGAAGGGACTGAATGTGACTTATCGCTGGAAGAAGTTGTCATAATGTTATACACAGTATTCAATATTGCCTTGGAACTGAGTCATTTTCAGCATCATTACAAATAATCAGGGGGGTAATATCAGTTGATATCACCCCACACACCCACACCCACACCCACACAGTTCATTATGTCAGCAAATTACTTCCTACATTGGTTGCTCTTTCTAGTGAGTGAGTATGGATATACCTGCTTTTAGCAATATTTCAACAATATCATAGCAAGGGACCCCCGAAATGGGCTTTCCACATTGTTCTCATGTGGGGTATTGAACCCAGGTCTTCAGCGTGACAAGCAAGCACTTTAACCACTAAGCTACCCCACCGCCCCTTCATCCTTCTTGGTACTCCTGGAGGCAGTTAGTGCCACTTTTAGGCTTATTCCAGCCAAATCACAGCAGGACATGGGGATGAGTGAGTGACTTGGGTCCTCTATAGATATCTTGATCTGCTGTTAAAGTTGTACAGTTTGCTTCTCCTGATTCTACTTTGCTATATACACAATGTTAATATATCTTTGATCAATGACTTATTGAAGAAAAAGAGAGTCTAACCTATCCATTCTCCTCTCTGACATAAGAATACATCATTACCATCCTCGACCTGTATTTGTAGAAGATGTCACTCCTTCACCAGGGCAAAGAGGAGATTTCTAGCCAGAACACGATAAGTTTAAATCTCTTACACTTCAGTACAACCAGCACTGTTTGAAATTAAGGGGTCCTGAGGTCCCAGGGGATTTCTCTTATAGCATTTGAATCTATTTAGGAACCCTAAACTGGTAACATTTCTTAGTGTTATGACAAGGACCCCTTTGAGTCCCGGTATTAAACATTCCCCATGTCCTGAGTGATATCGACTGTCCCAGAAAGCTGCTGAAGTACCGGGGTAGTTAACTACTAATTCACCTGCCCCCCCCCGCCCCCCCAACTAAATTGTTTGTGTGCTAAAATTTGTCTTGATTTATGTTCGTTGTCCACATTGCTATGATAAAATCTGTGGTATTAGTGTTTGTCAAAGTACAAACATATTAAGAGATTGTTTTACTATTATGCGAAACGAGGAAATTGGTTCGCGTCCTCAATGAAATACTCACAATCCTGCGACATCGCCTGCGATAATGGCCTTTTTGTAAGTACAAACGTGTTAAGAAATTGTTTCACCAACAAGTAAATGAGCTGAAATTGTATTGACATAAACCACAAAGGATGAAACTTATACGGTTGTGTGTATTGAGAGTATGACATACTATTATGTGGCAGTGTCTGTAGATGCTTGAAGTTTTACATGAGCAAAGAATGGTGTGAGTGAGTGCATGCTCAGATAGTACATTGGAGTTCTGTCCGCGGGTTAAATCTTAATGAAACAAAACATTTGAAATTATGATGACATGCATCCATAGTGTTACAGGACTTAGTTACTGAGTATGTTTGTTTGTTGACTTGCCCTTGCATGTGTTTGTGACAAGTGCCACTGGTGGGGCAATATACATTCACCTTTCGATGAAATGCCTGGTATCATCATGGCTTGAAAAACATGCTCATGACATAGTCAGAATCATAAAATGGACTCGATATTTCTTAAGATTATGGCGGTCGGGTAGCCTAGTGGTTAAAGCGTTTGCTCATCACATCGAAGACCCGGGTTCGATTCCCAACATTGGTACAATGTGTGAAGCCCATTTCTGGTGTTCCCTGCTGTGACATTGCTGGAATATTGCTAAAAGCGGTGTTAAACCAAACTCAATCACTCATTTAAGATTACGGAATTTGTTTTTTGTCCCTTTCTATTTATTTGTTATCATTATTCCATAGAGTAACATTTCAGGTAAATATCTTCTACTCTTTCCTATTCACTCTCCACAGCCTTACTAATTTCTTCAACCTTTCCATATAATTTTCAAGAACTAAAGTTTTTCACATTTCTTCTTTTCATCCTATGATCCATTAACTCAAAGCATCTGCATGATTGAACAAGGACAAAACAGGACAACCTTCCCTGAAATCCAACACAGAGGACTTTATTTTTTCATATGTTGCAAATCAAATTCAACATGGATGTTGGAAAAGACGTCAAGCTCAAAGATATCAATTCAGATAAACATATATTGATCCTGCTAGACAGGTTCTGATATCGAGACAAAAACAATGCCTGAAGTGGTCTGGCACAGAAAGAACCCAAAGCATACCAAGTAAATCAATCTGGTTTGAATGCCATGTCCTTGAAGAGGTGACATTGACAAAACACACTGCCTCTGTCAGGGCATTCAAATGGCAAAGACTCCTGATTGTATTACGTCCAGGAACCATATTACCATTCTAATGTCTCCGAGAGCTCTGCATCTACCTAACAGGGCTTATATTGCTGCCAAGCCTTCCCACTGGTGCATATTCAAACTATCAACCAATAAAATGCCCCCTCACAAAGGTCGTATCTTTCCACAGCTTCCTTAAGGTCATATTATGGTTATTTTTCCCCTGTTTTTCTATTTGTATAAATAATCAGCGGAGACAGGTTCTCATTAACATTTATGTTTGTGTTGCATGTCCTGAGCTATCAGTTTAACAGCTTTCGCATGTCTGTTGCAGAGTAGACGTCAAATGTTGACGAGCAGACGGCAGATTAGCATATTGGATAATGCCAATTGAGATCAACTGCATGCATGATAAAGACCATTGTCAGTCTGCCGTAACAAATTCTGCCCACATGATCAATCTGTTGCTCAAGCTTCAATGAGTAGATTCATGTCCAAGCTGGAAAAAAAGCTGATCTTGTTTGGTCCTACAAACCACAATATGCTTCAAATAATAAGACATCATTGATCTATTAAATGTAAATTATTGTTTTAGGAAGTGAAAGGATTTCTATTCTAGGGCTCAGATCATTATCAGTCTGATTGATAACTAATTTGCACCACAGATGTAATAATTTTAGGAAAACAAGTTACGCATCATATGTGTAACTAATCGATTAAATAGCTTCTTTGCCTTTCTCCGTGAACGAAATGTTTGTTCCACACCTACACATTAGCTTCTTATTTTTACCCTTTCTATACCCATGATGTAAAGAATTAGTAATAGGTCAGACTCTGTTACAGAACCCAGAGCAAATATTGAATAAAACAATCACCCCCGTTTTCAGGTATATCAGCCATCACGCTATGTGTTCATATGAAGACAGCTCAAATGAAATAGCAAAGCTTTGTTTCAATATTTTCAATCACTTACCTTGAACTCAAACGAGATTCGAATTTTGTCGGCCACCAATCTATCTTCCTTCTTCTCATACAGCTGGTAGGTAACCCACTCATACCCTCGGAAGGTCATCACGGTCGGACCTAAGAGACACAACAAGGATCTTGTTAACGTTGTGGTGCAATGGGGTTTAACATTGTGTTCAAATTAACGCAACTTATATAGTGATGTGCATGTATGTGCATCGTTAGGGCTGGGATGGGTAGGTACTCGAGTCGGGTGGGCACTGAGTAGGACCCGGGTACCCACAGGACTACCCGAACCCATGGTTAGTCATGTGATATATTGTTTTATGACATTAACAATAAAATTTCATGGTTACACTTTATAAGTACAAGTCACTATTGTTTGCATTTCTTTCTGACTGTGCACACATCCCTTCAGATTTTTATGTGTTTTAGTAAAGACAACGCTTCAGCCATCTTTAGCCATGCACGACCAGATCGTTTGCCAGTAAAAAACTTTTATTTGAACATTTTGTACCTAACTTCAGACCTAGAGTGGGTACCCGGGTAGTAAATTTAGACTTGTCCCAGCCTTAGTGCATGTCTGCTTGTACAAGTCCGGACTAATGACAGTTTTAAAGTGCTAGCCTACAGAGATAACATGCCACTGTCATGGTACGTTGACATGCCATCAACCACGTCACCGGACCGGACCACCGGATCCATTAAGTGACCTCTTATGACCATCAGAGGTCACTAGGGATCAATTCAAAATCCCCACATGTTCCCAGTTTTGCTGCCTCTTACACTAGCAATGGGTGTTGGGGCCCAAATCTACCCCGGTCCCCTACAGAGAGATTGCCACAGCCTACCCAGGGCCCCCACAGGAATCAGGTGGCCACAGTCTACCCGGGCCCCCACAGGAATCAGGTGACCACAGTCTACCCAGGCCCCAACAGGAATCAGGTGGCCAGTATACCCGGGCCCCCACAGGAATCAGGTGGCCACAGTCTACCCGGGCCCCCACAGGAATCAGGTGGCCACAGTCTACCCGGGCCCCCACAGGAATCAGGTTGCAACAGTCTACCCGGGCCCCCACAGGAATCAGGTGACCACTGTCTACCCGGGCCCCCACAGGAATCAGGTGACCACAGTCTACCCGGGCCCCCACAGGAATCAGGTGACCACTGTCTACCCAGGCCCCCACAGGAATCAGGTGACCACTGTCTACCCGGGCCCCCACAGGAATCAGGTGGCCACAGTCTACCCGGGCCCCCACAGGAATCAGGTGACCACTGTCTACCCAGGCCCCCACAGGAATCAGGTGACCACAGTCAACCCGAGCCCCCACAGGAATCAGGTGGCCACAGTCTACCCCGGGCCCCCACAGGAATCAGGTGACCACAGTCTACCCGGGCCCCCACAGGAATCAGGTGACCACAGTCTACCCGGGCCCCCACAGGAATCAGGTGACCACAGTCTACCCCGGGCCCCCACAGGAATCAGGTGGCCACAGTCTACCCGGGCCCCCACAAGAATAAGATGGCAACAGTCTACTTCAGACCCCACAGGGTTCAAATGGCCACAGTCTACCCCAGGCCCACCTCATGGATCAGGGGCCACAACAGACCCCAGGCCCCCACAGGGATCAGGGGGCAAAGTTTACCCCAGGCCCCCACAGTCAGTTACATAACCATGACATGTCAGTTTGAAAAGACTTGATGTAGGTCTCAGCTGTTTACCAAATTGGTTTAACCCATGTGCGTGGTGCAGGCAAACCAAGAAACATTATCAGGATGAACTCAGGATTCAAACCCACTATCACATGTGTGTGCCACCAATGCCCCCTTCAGGTTGTGAGACAACTGCCGACTACAGGACAAAATCACTGCACAACTGTAGTTGGAACGCATTATGTATTCCCTTCCAATATCAGATACTGGCACCTTCAGGTTGTTCAAGGGCCATGGACAATTTCCCTTTGCTGATTTTATTACAGCAGTACCCGACGTATAAGGCCTATCTGTTGTCCTGCAATTCCCTGTACCAGATGATAATCATTCATATCCCCATGCATGACACAGGTACAATCCTTCAGCTGTGCACGAACCCCCACAGTATGACAGGTATGAAAGGATCATGTTAAAAGGTGGCATCAACCTTTGACTCCATGCCTGTTTACGTAAGGATCCTATTTCTTTTAAGAATTCATGCCTTTTGTGGGAGGCCTTGATGAAATGAAACGAGATATATATTCAATTAGCATATTTCATTAATTACTACACCAGAGGAAATAAACAAGCTTTGTGACTGGACATGTCAAGGAGTGCTGCTATTTTTCATTCTTTGTTATAATTCAGGTTATTATCAAGTATTATCAAAAGACATTAAATATGATTAAAATAATAAACTTTTCGATTCTTATTTTTAATTCAGACTTGACAAATGATGCAATCATTATTTGAAATCATACTGAAAAACAACAACACATCAGGTGCATAAATTAATCCTTTTATAATTAATCTATATAAATGTTGAACAAAGCCATCTCAGCACTACAACTATCGCAAATGTGTATGCTACAGTATGGGTGTATGATCATCATAGCTTAAGATGACTTCATGGAAAAGGCTCAGGCAATTCCTATTTTTCTAAAAGGGGGTACAAGGCTAATTGGCAGTCCTAACAAGTAGGATTCAAGTCCCTTGAAATTCACTTTGTTCAAATTTACCGTCTATAGGTTACTTCCTTTTAGCGGTTCACCACAGCCCTTAATACAGAAATACCTTAAAATAAAAGAGCCTGAGCAATGTCCCACACCATCAGGGTAATGATATACATAGGATGCTGGGGACCAACTCAGAGCCTGAATCCCAACAGGACTAGAGATTTGTAAACAAAATCTGACATGTTTCAGTTACTTCCATATAACTCAATAACAAACAAAAAATATTCTTGAAAATATAACCATTATTACCCATTGTTGAAGAACCAACATATTGCTGTTGTGTGTCATCACAAGAACCTTAAGTCAATCAATATTTCCAATCATGCAACAGCGTAAATAAAACAGGAATTCTTATGCCTGATGTCGTGAAAGAATACCCACGTAATGATTTGGAGGAAGAAAATACTGAAGGAAGTTGATCATCACCTTGGAGGATGGATTCCCATTGCGAAATAATGATGTCCACCAAAACATTGCAGCACTCGGACTGATATGGCCTCAATACTTCAATATACACTTAGGATAGTCGTGCATTAAGATTGTTCAGCAGTGCTACAACTACTGATTTATTGAAGATCATTGTTTCATTATTGTAGGCCCACATGAAACTATGAGTGAGTGAGTAAAGTTGACGAAACACCACCTTGAATAGTATTGCAGAAATATTGTCAACTTGAAAGGAAAGACAAATTGATGCAGGTCTTACAAGGTTTATCAGTTCAGTGAGCAAGGGTGAGGATGAGATTTGAACCCACTTATCCTGGCCCACTGAGCCACCCGTTCCCATTATGAGATGACAATAGTCATAGCTAGAGTTCACACTGAGCACATGGGCCTGGATGTGTTTGTGTGACACCAACCCCTGAAGCGCCACATGGGGTTTCTAGGTTAGAGTATGTCCCCAATGACCAATACTAGTCACACAAGGTGACTAAATGGATCAGATGTCAGACTTGGTCACGTTGTGCACATGGCCCTGGTTGTGTTTGTGTGACACCAACCCCTGAAGCACCACATGGGGTTTCCAGATTCGAGTGTGTCCCTAGTAACCAATACTAGTCACACACGGGGACAAAATCGTCAGGCTTGATGACTTTGATGTTTGTATGACATCGTATCCTGACAGTGTGGGCTGTTGCTCATAATACCAGTCACTGGGTTGTCTGGTCCAGATTTGATTATTTATGACAAAAAGCTGAAATATTGCTAAGTGTGGTGTTAAACAACAAACTGAAGCAGGATTGATGCCGTCCCCATCAGCTGCTTATTTTGTCACAAACTACAGGCCACCCTACAGGCCACATTACAGGCCACATTACAGGCCACCCTACAGGCCACATCACAGGCCACCCCACAGGCAACACTTCAGGCCACCCCACAGGCCACACTAGGCCACCCCACAGGCCACACTACTGGCCACCCCACTGGCCACCCCACAGGCCACCCCACAGACCACACTACAGGCCACACTATTGACCACCCCACAGGCCACACTACAGACCACCCCACAGGCCACACTAACGACCACCCCACAGGCCACACTACAGACCACCCCACAGGCAACACTTCAGGCCACCCCACAGGCCACACTACAGACCACCCCACAGGCCACCCCACAGACCACACTACAGGCAACACTTCAGACCACCCCACAGGCCACACTACAGACCACCCAAAAGGCCACACTACTGGCCACCCGACATGCCACACTACAGGCCACACTACAGGCCACCCCACAGGCCACACTTCAGACCACCCCACAGGCCACACTACAGACCACCCCAAAGGCCACACTACTGGCCACCCGACAGGCCACCCCACCGGCCACACTACAGACCACCCCACAGGCCACACTTCAGACCACCCCACAGGCCATATGACAGACCACCCCACAGGCCATATGACAGACCACCCGACAGGCCACACTACAGACCACCCCACAGGCAACACTTCAGGCCACCCCACAGGCCACACTACAGGCCACACTATCGACCACCCCACAGGCCACACTACAGACCACCCCACAGGCCACACTATCGACCACCCCACAGGCCACACTACAGACCACCCCACAGGCAACACTTCAGGCCACCCTACCCCACAGGCCACACTACAGACCACCCCACAGACCACACTACAGGCCACCCCACAGACCACACTACAGGCCACCCCACAGGCAACACTTCAGACCGCCCCACAGGCCACACTACAGGCCACCCCACAGGCCACACTACAGACCACCCCAAAGGCCACACTACTGGCCACCCGACAGGCCACACTACAGACCACCCCACAGGCCACACTTCAGACCACCCCACAGGCCACACTACAGACCACCCCAAAGGCCACACTACTGGCCACCCGACATGCCACACTACAGGCCACCCCACAGGCCACACTACAGACCACC